CCCCAGTTTATGGCGTTGAAGGGGCGCATTGGTCTTCCCTGCTTCAAATCTGTCGGCGTAGCGCTGCCTAACACATTCATACCGAAAAGATCAAACAAGAGATTGCTATTGCGATATACAGCATACTGTTACGCACCAATCTTTAAAAAAACGCATAAGAGAAGCCAGGAATATACTACAAAACCTGAAAACGAGCAAACTGCAAGACAACGATTTGCTGCAATTTCGCATTTAAAAATGGGTATAGTGTGTATTTGCTGCACGAATGAGACTAAATCTCATCGGGAATTTCTTCAGTGGCATAAGTCTGATTAATTCGACGAAAGAGTTACACGTTCTAATAAGCGCGTTCTGATACCTGTATATGTTAACTGTTGAGACATAGCCGCCATGTTTGGCAGGTTAGTGCATCAATGCACAAGGCGAATATGAAATACGCACATCGACTATAAACAACTTTTTCTAAATACCTTAGGTCGCAATGTCATTCGAGAGTAGGAACAGAGTCGAGCAAACAAACAATTCAGCAAGACATTAAATACCACGTTACTTTCATAATTACGCATCGACGACCACCTGCTACAGTACGGAAATTATCAGTTGCCCACAGGAAATACAAACCAAAATCTATATGTCAGTATCGATCGCCATGTTCATCGATCACATGACATCAATTAAGGCATCCGATCTTTCGCGATACCCCATAATTATCACAAGCTATTCGTACGCCCGAGTATATCAGATAACGAATTACTCCTACAAGGCCAGATTTCACGGCGTACTGCATCACCCCTTGATAAGCGAATGCGCCAGCGCATTAAGACCATGTCATCGTCAGTAATAAACGACTGATTCCTTTCACGGGCAGGTCTGCTGAACGCGTAGTAAAGGGATAAAGTAAACATGCAGATTTCGAAATCAAATCACGTGTCCTCCACTAGGGTAAACTATGTGATACGTCAAATCACGTCTTCCTGACTAAGACGAAGTTATCCCAGGTATTTCACTATACGAACAAACTACTTGTGGGAGTGCTGAATAACCTGGTCTGACTCAACAACAACCGGGTATTAACGGCGCAGTTGAATAAACAGAACCATGATTGTGCGTTGTAGCACATTTTTACTCCTATTTCGATTACCGACTCATTAATAAAGCATGTGTTTTATGAATGTCATTAGTCGATATGATCTATTAATCAGAACATTAATAATGGAACGTGACCGAAATGAACGCCACGTCTGCCAACAGTCATTCTCGGCCGAAAAAGACAAGCGATTCATACTGTTTTCTCGGGTCAAACAGCAGCGAATATTAATGTATAGAAAAACCACACTAAATTACATGGTAACTATACTACAGCTACAGCCTTAAAAGAAACCACTGTTTCAATTATACAGTGACCGTTCAGAACTTAGTCACCTAACTTGGGTAGAGAAGCGAGAAAGAAACGAATGAGAAAACTAGAATTTTCATATTAATGACCCATAAATGGTGGAGAATTTCTGTGCGATAAGAATTTCCATTTTAATGACCCATAAAAATTTCACAATCTGGGATACCATTGCAAATGATCAAACATTGCATATCTGGGCTATTCGCCACTCAAGTTTTGCTAACTTTAAATGATGCTGAAAAAACGAAAAAGAGGCACATTGCGGTGATTGGCCTGGATTGTCCAGTGCATTACTAAAGCGCCCCGGTGCATACCAAACAACCCGCTTATTAAGCACAACGTGATACAGTATGTTTGCTGAAATGATAAAGCGCCGACCAAAGTTTCGGACTAGAATTCATACGACTCTTTCAGAACTGCACTCATTGCTGGAAGTCGTCTACCACAAGTAACTTAGTCCTTGGGTAAAGTTGGTCAACGCTGGAATGTCGGCCTTCCTTCACTTTCGTGGTTGGGTCATCTTGGCGTCGCTGATGATGCGGGCTAATTTCCGCTTCTATGTTATCAACCATGAGTGCCTTATTTAAAGGCAGAGTTCACAGCCATGAGGCAAGCGTTTCGAGTAGTCTCCTATTTTCTTTCCACAGAGCGGTATTCATTTATAAACTTCGGAAGGAAGAAGGACGATTAACCCTGACCGAGACTTGAACTCAGAACAGATAAGTTCTGATTTCGACGCCCCACCGACTGAGCAACATCGGTCTGAAGCAACGTGTGGTAAATTCCTTACGTAAAGGAATTCGTGAAAAAGACCAAGATGGTCCTCGAACGGAATCGAGCACTGCACCTCCGGTGTTCGAAGGAGACTATGGGCAAGGAAAACCTAGTCGATGGTTTGCTTATCTGATAAATTAGTAAATCAGCTGCTGCCGATGACACCCAACAAAGACCAAAGTGAACTGTCGTCGAACAAGACATACGGTAACACTTCCACATCGAAATGCCGGATAGAATTTCATCATTCCTACAATGTTACTGCGTTAGGCTGTTTTTAATAAACCTTCGTTTCGGTTATATTCGCGTAATGACACTAGTGTAGGGAACAACCTACTCGGTTGCTGTCATGTTCCATCAACCGCTAGAATACTGACTTATGTCGAGTTGGTGTTCTCTGTTTTGACAAACTACCAACCTCCTTATTCTAATTTCCAAACGCTGTAGAAGTAGAGCCGAAAATTGAGTATTTGAGTACTTAATTTGTCAGCAGTCTGGAAACCAGCATAAAACATGGTTTACACAGCACAAAATGCTGGTTTACCGAATGACAACGAACACAAATTCTCGGATGCCGTTGCAGTTCTCCGCATTAATTGGATGTATCTTACGCAACACGCGAAGCTTTCGTTCCATACTGCTTCTTCGCCACAAATGCGATAATGATAATTCAGTCTATGCAAAATTTATGAAGCACATTTCCAATGATCATGGTGCGTCGACATTATCACTCACGTCAAGCAGGCATTAATCATCCAGCCAACGACACAGGATCAAATTCTGCGTGGAATCAATGAGCCGCAACCTGGCCTGTCGTAGCTGTTCAGCAGACGTGCCGACGATTTAGAGGCTAATAATTGGCGCGACGCCGACACATTTCGATTAACTTCCTAACAAAAATCAGCATCAGATTTCTACAGGGACGCCGATGACTGCAGGCACCTTTTTGGAATAATGTTGTTCTACTCCAAGCATATCAGGAAGAAAGCCTCACTTTTAACGATGGAACCCAAGTACGCAGAATTCTGAACAAAATTATCCCCTAGAATCCGATCTCTAAACACCTGTTTCGAGAATATGTTCATATCGAATATGGCTAGTTGAAAATGCTTTCTAAACTAATAAGAAAATGAATCCCGAAAAACCGGTTACAAAACCGTTAATATCTGATTATGAGATCGGACATACAAGACTGCATTCAAATTTGATTCGTTATATTATAATCGTTGATTCGATAACTTATATTAAAACGTAGGTGTCCATTCCACAGCTGGAGCTCCGTTTCCCTAAGCCAGAAGATGCTACAATGTTTTAATGCTAATAATGTAAGGAGCATAAGGCATCCGGCATTTAATCTATATAAAGAGCAGAAACTTGGACATTTTATAGGTCCAAGCAAATCAAAGGGAGGCAGTTAGCATCACCCTGAAGATTTGTGAATCAAAACGAAAACGCGAATGAACAACTGATTGAAGATAATATAATCTTCATCTTCCGCCAACCGTGTTTGTCATCTTTATCCAGGATGACAAAACTTGAACAGCGGAGTTGTCCAAATTTGCCATATAAAACAGATTTCCTGAACGACTAGCGCATAATTTTACGTATCTGACAAGAGATCTGATACAATTTACAGATACTAAATTACATAAATGATACTACACGTCAAAGCTTGATGCACGTAATTGTAATTGGGTCTATTATGGCGTTATTGCAAATTTCCAGTTGATGCATGCAGAATCTGATGGACGCAATTTTGAAGATCAGCAGTAAAGAAAGTAGACGATCTTCTCGGGGAGCCATGCTTGCAAAATGGCACATGATGATGGAATGATGATCAGCGACGCGAGCAGACGGTAGAAGTTGAATTTAGGCTTAGGTCTAAAACTGTCGCTTCTGTAATTCACGCGCATTGACTTAATTCAAAGAATATTTTGAAAGTACTGCTTGAAACGGGACGGACAACGTACAAGACCATTAGCTCATCTTTAAGGCGAAGTAGCGATATCAAAAGTAATCATCGAAATGACCAGACTCGAACATTCAGAAAATGTAAAACTGCTCTCTCAACTCGTCCTATATTACAACAACTTCTAATTGTGCGTTCACGAATACAGCAGCATGATTGCGTTATAGACACTGCAAGTGAAAACAAGATACAAAGAAATTGATAATGAAATCATTCAAAAGGCAGACCTGCCTTTCATTAAACGTTCACCTAAGGCTTTACTTATGACAATGCTTAGACTCAGATCGTATTTCATTCACAGATACGTAATGGTTACATGATATATAATCCAGATATCAAATTAGTACTACCAAAGATTTAGGGCACGCGAAGTTCGAACGCCGTTTAGGACCAGACTTCGAGAAACCGCCGCTCTTCGTTGTACCTTCCGACAGCCGTTTATTCAGTGCTATGCTAATAAAGCGTGTTTTAGTCACCGTGCAGTTCAGCCAACGACAGTTTTATTCACGCATTCTCTCAAGCAAAGAGAGAACCAAGAACTCCAGCAAGGACCAAACACTGCTTCATACCGGAGTTGTTCAGTCGGTAGGACATCGAACTCAGAACCAATAGGTCCTGAGTTAAAGCCTCAGTCGGGGGCACTCGTCTACCTTCCTTCCGAGTTTGATAAACAAGTACCACCCTGTTGGAAAGAAACAGAAAAAACACGTTACGCCCGTCATATGACTGTAGGCCTTTAAAACTAAGGCACTCCTGGCTGACGAGAAGCGCAGAGCAGTGCCGTGCGCCGTCAACATCATAAAAAGAAGGGCGCCAAAATGGCCCAACCATGAAAGTGAAGGAAGACCGACATTCCAATGTTGACAAACTTTCAGTCAACGACAACCAAGTAGACAAAATGTTTTTTACATGATCGATCGATACTGATATTACTAATCGATCTATGATTAACAACGTCGAAGTGCAGGTGGATGTCACAGCATGCGTATTTTATTCGTAACATTGCGTTAGTAGTCATACTAAAAAACAGCACAAACATGGTTTCATGATACGTAACGCAATATAACGAACAATAAAGCACCACTGACGCTTCGGTGCCTCTCACGGATTTTCTTCGAGATGATCTACCCGGATCGGATTAGATTCAACAGCGAAGCAAGCGAGCATAGCTCGAAATGGAGTAACAGCGCCGCTCTCTAACGCAAAAAGATAGTGTTTTCGGAGCATTCGCTTGATACTGTCTATCACTAATAGATGACGACGTTACTTGGCCGCATGATGATTTGTGGAGCTTTCGGTCACGTAACGACTGTCACGTCATTTTTAACGCAGGCATGATAACACTAGAAGAGGTATAACTTCTCTTAGACCAATTTTCACGGAGTACGGCGCTGTCGCCTTGCTGCAACTTCTCTGGAGTGGGGCATTTAACTGTGCCACGGCTGCCGTGGCACATGAACGTTTGCATTGCTAAATGCACCTCGCATCAGTTTATTTTCTGGAGCAGCCCCTAAGAGAGATCACCTACAATGTTATAAGGCTAGTAACGACGTCAGCAAGGTGACGCCAATGATGATTCCAGCTGCGGTGACTCGATGACGACAGGAGTCGTTAAATTTGCCCGATGAAAGAATACTGTTTACAGCGCTAAAATTTTCTGAGCTTCACTTTACCGGGGACAATCGACGTTCAATTCTGCTATTGTGGGTGAAGAATGCGGCTGATCGACGGCTTGTAATAACAAAAGGATGCATAAACTGCTGTTTTGCATACAGCCTCCAATATTTCTCGTATTAAAACGTTTTTAAAAGTTTTGCTCAGTAAAACGTCAAAGAGACAGGTGTCGGGTAAACACGAATGTCCCTGCTTCGTCTTACTTGCACAGCACGACGCCGTCCTTGAGCACGGCGATGAAGTTATCCATCGAGCCATCGGTGTTCAACGGCTCGCCGATGATCTGCGAGATCCAGTTCAAGAGACTGGCTGC